TTTTCCCAGGAAATATAAACAAGGCGACTGGAATGAAGGCAGTTCCTTAGTGTTTATTGATGTCAAAGTGCGCTGTCAACATGTTTGTTTGTTTGTTAGTGTGTCGTCCGATGTTCCAGAACGCATTAATGGGCTTCGTAACTGACTATTTGTTTTCGTTTCTTGGATGTAATTGGTTAAACAAGGTCACGGCCAACTTTATGTTCGTAATTTGGTTTTGTGAGGAGTGCTTCGGGCGTCGTGCCCCCTGAAAATGTGTGTACTCGTTTAATTTAGTAAGAAATATCCTTCGCCTACCGACTTTCGCCAGGCCTTCGGTTGGACTTCGAGATTCGTTGATTCGCCAGTTCTTCTTAGGAGGAGGCCTTCGGTTGGACTTCGAGATTCGTGGATATTACTAAAGCGAATTACGCAAGTTCATCTTTTGCCACTGACAGCCGAAGGTCACGCGTGAGGCGGAATTTGCAAAACCCTGTATCAGTTAATCAGATTGTTTCCAGAGTTAATATGAGACTCGAAGCCACGTTCATTGATATATTCCTAATTTAACGAGTGTCTTGATAAATCATAGAATGGAATAGAAGTTTCTGTTCTTATTTTAACAAAAGTGACTATTGCAAACTCTTCTATTTTAATATTGTAGTCACTAACAGCAAGTCGAGTTGTTTACTAACAGTAACGAATAGACGATAAGGCAGTGCGTAGTTACAATCTGTTCACCCGCCACTAACACCGACTCATTGTGCAGTATAAAAATCCACTTTCGTTTTTGATGTTAACTTTTTTCGGGATGTAACTTCCGAACCACGTGGCAACCCTCGATCCCCGGTCTGGACGCAGCTGTCGTTATGGGGCGAATTCAGATCTTCAAATAAAGAATTTGGTCCCTTCTTGTCTTCACCGGGGCACCAACTGCTTGTCCTGTTACAAGTGTAAAAATATTTAATGTTTATAACACGTGATGATCGTCTTCGTATTTGTATCGTTGTCGGCTGACGTCATCGTATTCGCTGCACACCGGTAATGCCAACTGTAGCGAAGCTAGCTTCTCTTGCCATCTACCGGCGATTTGTAGGAACTTTCGTCGACGGAATTTTCTTAACCTTCCGTAGATGGTACCACGCGTTTGACTTTGATGAACTCTCGGATTCTGTAATGGCGATTAATTTGATTGGCCAAGCGACTAATAGCTTCTCAAACAGCTGTCGGGCGTAATTGTATTTGATGCCAAATCACAGTACACGGAAAGTACAGTCCACTCTTTCAGCATTGTTTACAAAAATTTTACCTACAGATTAATGTATCATTGGAAATTTAGACTGTTCATTAACACTTTTGGTGTTTTATGGGGGCAATGACACCGCGCGTGCTGTCTCCATCTTGAGCCCTGAAGATGGACACATATTGGTTCGCAGAAACGTTTGTGCCTGCCTACAATTATATATGGCGTTTCTACCCAGAAGACCAACTTCGCCATCTTGTCTGCCGTCCAATAAGGCTTCAGAAATTGTTTCTGCGATACCTCGCACTTTATAAATTAGAAGTCGATTCGCGTCGGACAGGAGCCAGTTTGTGCACCCCTACCTTGCTTCTTCCTGCAGTCCTGAAACTTTTCACCAATCGCATTGGCGACGTCAGAGTTCAAGGTCATCCGATTGTAATCCCAATTGACTGACGTCCTTAAGAATTAATTACTCTCGCAGGCGACGGTATTGAAGTGAGATTTGTTCCGAATGTAATAAAAGGGTCTTAGATATTACGTTGCTGTCTTCCTGCCCGCGGTTACACGGAGGCCCCCGCCCCCCTCGCTGAGAATAAGAACAATAATTTTTTTAAAAACGTGATATGCTGTTTCCGTTTAGAAGGTAAGATCTTTTTACTGATTTTTGATTTCCGTAATTTTATCTTCTGTTACTGATAGTTATACTCCTCCCCCGATATTGTCAGGGTGATTAAGTCGAGAAGAATGAGATGGGCTAGGCATGTAGCGCGCGTGGATGGGACAAGAGGTGTGCACCGGGTACTGGTTGGGAAGCCTGAGGGGAAGAGACCTCTGGAGAGACCTAGACGTAGATGGGAGGATAATCTCAGGCGGGATCTATGGGAGATAGGAGTTGAAGGAGACTGGATTTTGTTGGCCCAGGACAGGGTCCGGTGGAATCTATGGGAGATAGGAGTTGAAGGAGACTGGATTTTGTTGGCCCAGGACAGGGTCTGGTGGAGGGCTTTGGTTAATTCGGTGATGAACCTTCGGGTTCCGTAAGCCATCTACTTAGTTAGTTACTGATACTTTCAATTTTTCTGTGCAGAATTGGTTCTTATTCAGTTAAATGCATTCCAGTTCCACTCTTGGTTTTATATCTCACGAAGCTCGTGGCTTAACGTTTAGTATAATGAAGTGTCCTTGTTGCACGTGACCCTGCGTAATGCGACGCGTGTTAGTTGTCGGTGTCAGTAACGAACCTTGGGGGGGGGGGGGGGGG